CCCAAGGAGTATTAATGCAAGAAAAATGGTTGACTCTCAAGAACAGTGAGCTTTTGGGCATTTTATCATGTTCTAGCCCTATGCTGCTCTCCAGCTCAGTTGTAGCTGTAATAGGTAACATTCTGCATTCCTGGTGCAGAATGGCATCTACAGTAGTGAGCGAGTAGAACTGGATCTCTTTCAAAGCCTTATTTCCAAAGTATGGTCATTATTTTACCTGTCTGAAGGGTCCCTGGAAGACCCACTTTCAAGGCTGACTTGGAACACACTCTATACTAAAAGCCGCCTTCCTTACGTTGCAGTGAAAACAATTAGTCAAGTGCTTTATCTTTGCAGCTGCCTGGGAAGATTGATAACTATTGGGGAACACAGATTAACCAAAAATCTTAAGGAAAACCTGAAGAATGAGATGCCTATAGTGGCTCTTCAAAACTCGGACATATATTGCTGGAATCTAGAAGGCCACATGCATGTGTAGAGCTATGTGCCTGCTGGGGAAAGACCTTAGAAGACTACAGTGCCTCATCTTTGGCTGACCATAAGGCCATGGTCAGCAGAAAGTGGGAACTTACAGTGGAGGTGAAAATTAATCTGGCTGAACGTTGAAAGCATACAACATACACACAAGCCCCTCAGCAAAGACAGAAAATTCAGTTCCAGTCCTTTAAGGAAACCTGATCAGCAACTGTGAGGCCAACCAAGTAGAGACTTAAGTGGCCACATGTGGCAAAGAATACAGATTTCACATTAGTACAGGAAAATCACTAAACAAACAGCAGTGGCTACAGCGAACAGCAACAACAAACCCTGGGTAGAGGATATCTTCTGAGTTACAGAGTTGTCACATTATTTGAAATGTTCAGTTTGCAAAAAAAGAAGTTTGCCAAGAAGCAGAAAAGAATAGCCCACGCATGGGGAAAAAGCAATCAATAGAAACAATCAGAGGAAGTGCAGGATGTTTCACTAGATGAAAACAAAACTTTAAATCAGCTGTTTTAAGTAATGTTCAAAAGAGCTAAAGGAAACTGCCCAAATGAGTTTTTATGAATTATGAAATGGTATCTCAAATAGAAAATGTTGATTAGGAAATAGAAATTATAAAAAGGAACCAAATAAAAATTCTGGAGGTGAAAAGTATAATAACTGCTTGAAAAATTTACTAGATGGGTTCACCAAACAATTCTCAGTAAATTTTAAAATATTGAAATCTTTTTCTGAACACAGTGGTATGAATCACTAATTAGTGATCAAGATAGCTTTCCACAAAGAATAACCCAGATCCAAATGACTTCACTGGCGAGTTCTACCAAATGTTTAAAGAATACGAATTCTTCAAATTGTTCAAAAAAAAATAGAAGAGGGAATACTTCCTAACTTAATGAGGCTAGTTTTATCCCGATACCAAAATTAGACAAAAGACAATATCACAAGAAATACAGATCAGTATCTCTTAGCAGTATGGTTGCTATAATTCTCCAAAAATATTAGAAAATTGAATTCAGAAGCTTAGTAAAAGGAGTATATCCCATTACCAAGTGGAATTTATATCATAACCGCAAGGTTTGTTCATCAATATACTATACCAATAGAATAAAGGGAACAAATGCACACTCATATTGGTAGATGTAGAAAAAGGAATTTGACCCAACATCCCTTCATGATAAAAAAAACACTCAATCCAGGAACAGAAGGTACCTTGCTCAACCTGATAAAGGGCATCAATGATAAACTGACAACTAACATTACACTTAATGATGAAAGAACTAAAGCTTTCCCTCTAAGAACAAGACAAGACATCCACTCTCAACACTTCTATTCAACATTGTACTGGAGGTTCTAGTCAGGGTAATCAGGCAAAAAAAAAAAAAAAAAAGGCCAGTCATATTCAAAATAAAGATGTTGAACTATATTTGCAGATAACATGATCTTACATATAGAAAACTATAGAACCCATACATATTAAGAAACTATTAGAATTAATGAGTTCAGTAAGGTTGCAGAATACATGACTAATAAGCAAAAAATCATTTGTGTTTCTCTATACCAATTGTTACTGGCTGAATTGTATGCCCTCCAAATTCATATGTTGAAGCCCTAATAAATAGTACCTCAGAATGTTACTGTTATTTGGAGATCAGTTCTTTAAAGAGGATATATTAAAGTGAGGCTGTTAGTGTAGGCACTAATCCAATCTGACTGGTGTCCTTAATAAGAGAAAATTTGGACATAAAGAGAGACTTCAGGGATGCACTCACAGAGAGCCAAGATTATGTGAGGACACTTAGAGAAGGTAACTATACGCAAACCAAGGAGAGAGGCCTCAGAAGAAACCAAACCTGCTGACACTTTGATCAGTTTCCAAAACTAAGAAAATTTATGTTTAAGCTACTCAGCATGTGATATTGTTTTGGCAGCCACAGCAAATTAATATGCTGGCCATGAACAATTCAGAAGTGAAATTTAAAAATTTCACTTATAATAGCATAAAAAACACTTAGGAATATAGGTAACAAAAGTAGTACAAGGATAGTACATTGAAAACTACCATTTTGAAAGAAATTAAAGACCTAGATAAATGGAAAGACATTGCATTTAAATGGATTGCAAGGTTTTCAAGATTTCTTATTGTTAAGATGGCAGAAGTCTCCAAGTTAATCTACAGAGTAAATTTAATCCCTGTCAAAATTCCAACTACTATTTTTGCCCAGTAACCAAAATAGCTTGCTACTGGCACTAGGATACACATATAGATCAATGTGATAGAATTAAGAGTCCAGATATAAACCAGTCTATGGCCTTGATTTTCAACAATGATGCGAAGTTCATTCAGTGAGAAAATAATTTTGTCCACAATGGCTGAGACAACTGTATATCCACATACAAAAGAATAATTTTGGTCCCCTTCCTCACACTGAATACAAATATTTAAACAAGATGAACTGGAAACCTAAAAAAAATTAAGAGCTAAAACTATAAAACTCTTAGAAGAAAACAGGGGTGTAAATCTTTGTGACCTTAAATTAGGCACGGGTTTCTTATATATGGTACCTAAAGCAGAAACAAAGAAATATATTTAAATTGTATTTAATCAGAATTTTTAAAAGATGTGCATGAAAAGACTACCAAGAAAGTAAAAAGGCAATGCATACAATGGCAGAAAATGTTTGCAATTCACATATCTGACAAGAGCTAGTGTTCAGAATATATGAACATTTACATCTCAATAATGAAAAAAACAACCCAGTTAAAAAGGAGCAAAGGGGGCTTCCCTGGTGGCGCAGTGGTTGAGAGTCCGCCTGCCAATGCAGGGGACACGGGTTCGTGCCCCGGTCCGGGAAGATCCCACATGCCGCGGAGCGGCTGGGCCCGTGAGCCATGGCCGCTGAGCCTGCCCGTCCGGAGCCTGTGCTCCGCAACGGGAGAGGCCACAACAGTGAGAGGGCCGCGTACCGCAAAAAAAAAAAAAAAAAAAAAAGAAAAGGGAGCAAAGGGTTTGGATAGGCAGTTCTCCAGAGAAGATACACAAATGCCCAGTAAGCACCTGAAAAGACGTTCAATATCAATAGTCAGGAGGGAAATATAAATCAAAACCACAACGTGATACCACTTCACACCAACCAGGATAGCTATAATTTTTTTTAAATGGGAAATAACAGATGTCAGTGAAGATGAGAAGAAATTGGGCCCCTAATACATTAACAAGAACGCAAAAAAGGTGTAGCCATTATGGAAGACAGTTTGTCATTTCCTCACAGAGTTAAATAGAGTCACTGTATCATCCACGTATCCACATATATTGTGCAAGTTGTACATGATGTTCATAGCATCATTATTCATAGTAGCCCCAATGTGGGAACAACTCAAATGTCCATCAACTGCTGAATATATAAAATGTAGTATATATCCATTCAATGGAATATTGTTCGGCAATAAAAAGGAATACAGTACTGATACATGCTACAGCATGGATGAACCTTGAAAACATGGTAAATGAAAGAAGTCAGACCCAAAGTCACATGTCATATGATTCTTTTCATGTGAGGGATCCAGAACAGGCAAATCCATAGAGACAAAGTAGATTAGTGGTTGCCAGAGTCTGCGGGGGAGGGGAACGGGGAGTAACTGCTAACGGGTGTGAGGATTTTTGGGGTGATGAAAATGGTTCTGGAATTAGATGGTCCTATGAGTATACTAAAATCCACTGAATTGTAAGCTTTAAACAAGTGAGTCTAGGGCTATGTCAATTATATATCAATAAAAAAATTCATATGGTGAAGATGAAGAAGAGGAAACCTAGAGAAAAAGAAAAGATGAATGCAAGGTGAGGGAAGGTAATGCAGTAGAAGCCATCAGGGTTGAATATTAGTCATGTGGTGACATGTGGTGCAGAGCACTTCAGCAGTTAACACAAGGCCCATGATCTGTGCTAGGAATAATAGCCTCCACTAGGGGCTCCGCAGAAGCACAGCTTCTGTGAAACGTATTTCCTGTGGTTCAGACTTTTTTTTTTTTTTTTTTTTTTTTGCGGTACGCGGGCCTCTCACTGCTGTGGCCTCTCCTGTTGCGGAGCACAGGCTCCGGACGCGCAGGCCCAGCAGCCACGGCTCACGGGCCCAGGCGCTCCGCGGCATGTGGGATCTTCCCGGACCGGGGCACGAACCCGTGTCCCCTGCATCGGCAGGCGGACTCTCAACCACTGCGCCACCAGGGAAGCCCGGTGCAGACATTTTTCATCAGTTCAGAAAAATCTCGGTTGACAATGTCCACAGCAACCAGCATTTTCAGAACTTTTCTGAGTGTTTCATATTAGGTATTGTGCAGCATATTCCTTAATACATTTCATTTATTAATTCACTAAGTGCTTGCTGAGTACTTGCCTATTTTCCTTTTTAGCAAAATGCAGGAGTTGAATTTATCTTTGAGTATAATTGAGGAATAAGGTCTATGTTTGTAGGATACATTGTTGCTACATGAAAAGAAATGTCAGGTAATGCCCTTACCCTTTTCAGGTGTTGCTAGGCTGCACCCTGCAGGCCTGTACACCTTGTAGTTGCCCAGCCCCGAGACTGAAGAAAGAGCCTGAAAATGGCAACAGAGAACGATATTGGATAGGGGATCTTGCACGTCTGAAACAAAGGGTCCTGGAGCAATTCCCCACCGTGTACAGCAGACAGGAAAGGGCAGCCATCTTCACTATTCAGGGAAGGAGGAGGCTACCATTTATAGGGGGAATTGACGTCAGGTTTGTTCATCAGTTACCAGGGAAACCAGCAGCCTGGGCATGTCCTTTACGGCCCCTCAGGTTAATGAGCATCACAAGGGCAGATGTTTCTCTTTAATAAACGAGCAGGCGGAGCCGTTCTGGCCTAAGGATTAGAACAATCACTAGCTGGGGGAGAGGGCAAGCAAGTTCGTGTAAGTAGAGTGTAGGTGAAGCAGGGATGGTCGACGAGGGGGATGGAGGAAAAGCAAGAGAACAGCCATCTTGAGTGGCTTGAGCATGCACTCCACCCTACATACCCCACACCACCTTTACCGTCTTGGTCCACCCCCTTCCACAGTATACCTAGGTCAGGTGTGTAGAGGTGCACTGCAACCAAATACCACAGAGACAACACAGACAGAGTCTAAGCGGTGGGCAAACTTTGGAGCCAGTCACTTACTGGCTCAATTTTTCATGGACGTCCACAGGAGGACGACAACGGCATGTTGCCATAGACCCTGCAATCAAATTCATCTGGCAGTGAGGCCATCGTTGTTACCTAGCCCACGAACAGATTCCCTCCACTTACATGAGAGATGAAGTGTAAGGTATTTAACAGGCACAATACAGGGATCATGACCATTAAGCAAAATACAAGCAGTAACAGCATTCTGAGATAATACCGTACCTACCTGTGGTTTTTGTCGTGGCCTACAGTGCCACACCACCTGTCCACACCCAGTTTGCACAGCTGATGTCAAATACTGGAGAGGCGGAGTAACAGACCACAGGTTAAAATAATGGTGCTTTTCTGCATTATGGGGCCCGGATCAATTACCTTAGTAGTCTTAGGCGGGGCCGGGTAGAAGACAGGTGAGATCTATAAGTCCCTAATTCTATTCCCCACACAGGGCGGCAAATCCAAACTACTGAGGACTTACTTGCCAGTCCCAGGGCCATTTTATAATGTGTTTCTCGGGGGGTAGATTCTGTGGCAAGGGCAAAAGTGAGTCATTGTCCTGACCTGTAATTGGCAGCGGTCCTTTGGTGGTCACCAGTTGAACTCGGATGGTGTTGACTAGTTGTTTCTGGACTAACGTGGCACAGGCACTGGGATGATTGCTCCTGGGATGTTTGGTTACAGATTTCACATCTCAATTGTTTAGTCCTTTCATCCTTTCAGTTAGCCCAGCAGCAGTGGAGTTGTAGGGCAGGTGGAAATGCCAGCATATGTCATTTTTAGAGGCCCATTCCTGAACTTTTCGGTGGGTACAGTGGGTTCCTTGGTCACTATCAATGTCGATGGGAGTCCTGTATGTCATGCACAGCTCTCCTAGACCCTGAATAGTGGGTTTTTGCATTGCTCGATGACTTACGTAGGCCTTTTATAATGTTTTCCACCTGTTGTAATGCACTGTAGACTGCATATAGCTCTTCGCTCACACTGTATCATTGCTCTGATCGTGGCCATAGCTATGACCAAAATAGGTTAGTCTTATCATTTTGCCATTGTCACAGGCCCCAGCCAAACCTGGGTAACTGGCCATGTCTAATTTACAAGTCTGTTCCTGAATTATTATCCCTAAAACCTGTGTCTGTAATTGTTTAGGGGCGGTGGGTCAGGGGTATGCCTGTATTTTGTAGATAATCCAGGTGCTTGTGTTGTCTGTATTCACCAGCCATCCCTGTGCAGCCAAGATGAACCACGAGCACGGGGCTGCTGCTCTTAAACTTGAAAGAGACTCTGAGGTTAACAGGCTATTATCAACATAAATGGAAGAGAAAGATATCTCTTATGGTAGACAGCTGCCACACACGCCCACACTAGTGGATGGCCACCTCGGAATTACCTCTCACAACTTTGGGGCCCCACATGCTAGTGGACAGCCACCCCAGGACTAACTCCACAAGTGTCCATTCCCTGTTCTTATTTCCCAACATCTCAGTGCTCATGGGAGTTTCCCTGGTGCCCTGAGTTGCTCACCAGCTGTTGTGCTGCACTCTGCAGGCCTGCAAGCCTTGTATTGTAGTTGCACAGCCTGGACACTGAAGAAAGAGCCTTGAGACAGTGACAGAGATCAGTAATATTGGATAGGGGATCTTACCTGTCTGAAATAGAGGGTCCTGGTGCAATGCCCCACACGCACAGCAGACACGCCACAGCAGCCATCTTTACTGCTCGGGGAAGAAGGAGGCTTCCTTTTATAGGGGGAATTGATGTCCGATTGGCTCATCAGTTACCAGGGAAACCAGCTGGGGCGTGTCCCTCACAGCCCCTCAGGTTAACAACCATCATGAGGGCAGATGTTTCCCTTTAATAAAATAGCAGGTGGAGCCAAAGGATTAGAACAATCACTAGCTGCGGCAGGGGGGCAAGTACTGTTCACCTGAGTAGGTGAAGCAGGGACTGGTTGAGCGGGGATGTACAAAGAGCAAGAGAAGAGCCATACTGAGCGGCCTGATCATACAGGAGTGTACAGTTCCATGTTAAGAATTTGTTTTTACTATTTTGAGCTGCACATTTTTTGTACTTTGCTATTTACCGGTCAAAAAAACTTTAGCTTATTAAGATTCAGAAAGAAGACAGTATAAACATGTATGCTATTTTAATGCAATATGTTATTTCATTAGGAAAGAGGCAAATATAATTATATTTTAATTTCATCTAAATAGTAAATGTACTATTGATATGAGGATAAAAGGCATTAAGTATTCTTGCATGCTAAATGTCCCTGTAAACAGAGTGATATTAGCTGTTATGTAATTTTTTTAATGCTTATTTCATTCAAAACACTCTATTCATAAAATTTTTACTTAAGATTATGAAAGAGCAAAAGGCTGAAATATCCATCAATAGTATAATGAAATCTTGGTTGATTCTGAAAGCAGAAGTCAGCCAAGATGAAGGAATGAGTCTTGTAATTGAGTACCAGAGGTAAAAAAAAATAGCCCTATTAAATGAGGAAGAGGAAATGCCTTAGACCTAGAGGAAAAGGTCATAATATTAGATTAGGACTGAATAAAAGCAGTCCACTACTAGCAATTTCCCTTTACTTGACAGCAATTATAGAAAGTTTTAACAAATTCTATTAAAATGGACAAAAACTATTTCCTAAAATAATAGTAGATTACAGTAAATACTAAGTACTCCACAGCATGTATTACATCTCAGTTTTTTCAAAATGAGCATGATGGTTTCTTGAGTATCCTGTTAGCCAAGTTTCAATTTGGGAGAGATGATAGAGTTGGAGGTGGGATGAGGTGGGTAATTGTAATTACCTTTATGCAGGTAGTATTGCACTTGGAATGGGTAGAAATGCCTTTGAAGGTTGGTGTAGATAAGGGGTTGCGAACAGGTTTGAAATCTGTGCAGACTTTAGCTCAGGTGCTAATGTCAGCCCAAAGTTCTCTGTTGGTGAAAATGATTCTGATATACAATCTTAAGATAGTAAAGGAGGGTGTTCAGTGAATTCCAGACCTTTGTCATGGACAAGGAACTCAAGTGCTGCTCCTTTGTGATTCCTGATTCGTTTGTTCCTTGAGAGGTTAGCTAAAATTAAGCCAGTGAGTAAAAAACAAACAAAAAGCCCCCAGCGATTCAGTTCTTACAACTATAGTAAATAGAAACAAAGCTCACTCATTATAACTCTTCTCCTTAGTCAGATGGAAGATGAAACTTTTTCCACAGAGACATCTTAATTTCTCTCCATGAAAGTGAAATAGATTATTCTGTGGTGAAACATATATGGCAAACTTAGATCATTTAGGCCACAAAGTATAGTACTTTTAATTAGCCAGGATTTTATATGAGTAATGAACCTTCCATTTCACTCTGAACATACCATCCTACATACATTTTAGTTGTTACTTGCTATAATGTAAAGGAAAAATCATTTTTTTTTTACAAATAATTACTGGCTGACATTTAAGGCAATGTACCAAAGCCTAACTTTATTTTGTTCTTTCTTACTTAGTTCTGAGCACTAAATCATCGTGCATGATTGATTCTTGCTTACATGCATCTTCTCCCATACTAAAGTATTTTCTATGTGGACAGCTCTTCAGAATAAGATTAAGATATGAGTAAAATGAAACAGGACCAGTGAGAGAGACAAAATACATAAAAGCCTCTTCAGACTTACTCTGAATTACCACTTGACTCCCTTTCAATTTTTGGCATCAAATTTCCACTTGAGGTATAAAGCTTCAATCAGGAGGGCAAAGCATTGCTGACAACAAACAAGAAAATAAACACTGCTAATTTGCACATATAATAATAAAGGAAAAAAGAAAGAAAATGATACCAGGGAGAGGCAGGGACTTGTTTCTTCTCAGAGAAACGGGAAACACCCGTTTTTCTACTGTGAAAGGGGAGGTACATATTCCAGACCAAAGAAGAGATGCTTTCTTGAAATGGCTCCTCCCGGGTCCCCATAATTTTGCATATAAATGGGAAATGGAGCTGTACTGAACGTTTTAGGAAGCTTTCTGCAAGGATTCGTGAAGTAAGTGAGGTCAGTAGGGACACAGACAAAAAAAATCGACGTTAGTTAAATCACAATAAGATTTTGATAGGAAGATTCATTTTTCCAACTTACTGTTAAATAGATAAGTATCTCAGGTACTCAACTTTGGATGTAATGTTACATAGAACTTAACTCTTGGTTGAGCATAAGTAAAAGAACCAGGTTTTCTAAGTAAGGTGAGGAGGGAGAAATCAACTGGTTGGGGAAAAGCTCAGGAGAGAGGAAGTAGCATTAAAAAGTGTGTATCCATGACGAGTTTATATATTCCAAAATAAATAGCAAATTGAGTACTGGATTGAGGAAAACATGCTACACTTCCTGTTTCTCTTCTGCTCACCAGCTAAGGAACCATGAGAAAGGCATTCTTTCGGCATCAAACTGGCAAGAGTAGTTTGATTATCTGGACCCACTTCCAGTGGGTATTGAGACAAAGTTAAGGTGGTATTGATGGCACCCATAAATTTTTTAGAGCATGGAAAAGACTGGACAAGAATAGACTAACAGGACCTTTTGCTCTTAGAACACTGAAGCAGATTCTCCAATGGATTTAGGACACCCTCTCCCTTTCCCTCTCTTCTCTTTAATTTAAGAAGCATAAAGTCATGTACTTCCTGCCAGGCACTGTTCTCAATTCTTTAATTATTCAGTGTTAACTCATTTAATCCAATACAACAACCTTATAAGGGCATAACTACAATTCTCCCCTGATGGATGGGGAACTGAGGCACTAATGAGAATATTGCTCAAAGCCATATAGCTGTTTCGTGGGGGAGGTGGAATTCTAGCCCAGTCTGGTGCTAGAAGCTGTACTTTTTTAACCAATATGCTGTTTTCCTTCCTTTCTTTGTATTTACCCCTTTAAAATAAGGTTAACTCTGCGAAATAAGGTGTAAACTTACTGAAAGGGCTGGAAAGGGTTAACGCTGAAGCACTTCCGCGAGCTGGAAAAACAAAAACAAACCAGCCAGCGAAAGCCTGTTAAAGCCCCCGTAGGAAATTCAGTGGGCCTCCTGTTTCCTTAAACTCTCGCTTTCGCTCCCGCTGACACTTTACAAAGCCGCAGCGGCGGGTCCAAGCTGCCGCGCGCCACCTTCCTCCACCCGCCCGGCGGGCCGGGGGTCCGAAGGGGCTTCGCAGGGTCAGTAAGCGAATACGGGCTCAGGTTTGCTTTCTTCACACCCCAGCCGCCGCCGCACACGCCCTCCCGGGAATGGCGAACTGTAATTAACCCTGTAGCGCCCAGGAAGACCCCCCCGGCGGCGAGCGCCCGCAGGGTCGGCCGCTGGGCCGCGATTCCCCGCAGGCGGGCGCGAAGGCGGCCCAGGGCCAGGTGGGTGCGGGCACCGCTGGCCCGACCGCCAGGGGTGCGAGCCGGGTGCGGGCATGGCGCCCGGGCAGCGCAGAGGTGCCGTCCGGCGCTCCCCTCCTAGCTTGGTTTTCTCGCCTTCTCTCCTGGCGCGCCAGGCCGCCGGCTGCCGGGGGGCACGCCGGGCCGGAGTTGCCCTCTCACTCCCCCTTGCCTTGCTCCCCGGGTTTAATCTCTCGGCGACTCCTCTGCCAGCCCCGAGGAAAGTGCAGCCATTGGACAGGTCGGTGCTAGCTGCCGGTTTCGGGGAGGAAGGTGGGAGACGCCTGGAGGAGCAAGGGGGAGGGAAGCGGGGGCGGGGGGGGAATGCAGCGGCAGATCTGGCAAATTGCGAGCTGCCTTCCCTCCCCAAAGTGTGGAGCTGGAGTGCGGGGGAGCGCGGCGGCGGCGGCGCCTCCTCCGCCACCAAACTCCGGGGCTCGGCGGGGCTTGGGGCCACCTCCTCCTTAGCCAGGAGGAACCCTCTCCCGATAGGTTTCAGCCTGACTTTTCCCTCCCCGTTTCTTTCTTCTTCCTCTCTCTCTCTCTTTTTTCCCCCAATACATTTTTCCTGCCTTCGGACCTCAGACTGCTGCAGCCCGAGCCTTCCCGGGGCTCAGCTCTGGGGCTGCTCATCCCTCCGGCTGCGAGCAGGGACGCGCGCCCAGCGTCAGGGCGAAGAAAAGAAGAAAAACTTGTCGGAGGGGTTTCGCCATCCCACAGTAACCCCCTTCCCGCAAACCCAAACCTTCCGCGGGGGCCACCCTAGGACTGGGGAAAGTTCCTTCCGAGCCGACAGCCCTCTTGGATTTGGACAGGCACCCGCGCTGGCTGAGGAATTAGATCTGTTTTGAACCCAGTGGAGCGCATCGCGGGGGCTCGGAAGTCACCGTCTACGGGCACCGGGGTGGCGCTGCTTGTGCGGAAGGGAGAGTTTGCCAGCCCCAGCTCAAGTGGCCTTTCGTCTCCGCAATTGTTGTGTGTCTGGGGTGAGGGCTGCGAGTGTCGTGGCAAGTTGTGAAGAGAGACCTGGAGGTCCGGAGAGGACTGCGCTCCCCTCGCTCTCCCGTCTTCCTCTTCCTGGCTCCCGGGTGTGAAGTCCCAGAGAAATTTACAAAGGCCTCTGCATCCCGCCAAGACCAGTCCTCAGCGTTCGGCCCCGTTGTCCCCATTCCCAGAGGGAGCCCCGGGGCACAGGGTGCCGGAGAAGTACTGGCGGGGAAGGGGAGGGAGGTCGCGGCAGCGGCATGGCGAGGTTCCCGAGGGCCGACCTGGCTGCTGCAGGAGTTGTGTTACTTTGCCACTTTTTAATGGACCGGTTTCAGTTCGCTGAAGGGAAGCCTGGAAACCAAGTCAATGGTAAGATCCACTTTCGCTTCTTGCTTTTGTGCCCAGCTGAAGACCTCTCTGGCACCCCGTTGTTAACCCACTCCCTCCCCACCTATGCCCTTGGCAAAGTTATTGCAATTGCATTTCGACTAAACTTGGTCTTCTCAAATGGGCAGAAGAATGTTGGCTGGATGAGTAGGGTGGTAGGGACTGGGGGTTATCTTAAGGATTTACCGCTTGCTTCACCTGAGCGGCTGGCAGGGAGTGGTACTGACTCCCCGGACGCGCCCAGAGAGGGCTCTGGGGTTAGAGCAAACCTTACGCTGATACCTCGCCCAGGAGCTGGCAGCCTGGGCTGTGTCCTCCCCGGCCCCTCCTCCTTCTCTGCTGCTGGGGTAAACTAAGGGAGTGCGCGAAGGGGGCGGTAGGGGGTGGACGTGGTGGCAGCCGGGGATTGCAGAGCTCCCCTCTGCTGGAGAAAATTCCCTGGGGCCGCACCTTCCTCCCCCGAGGCGATCCCCACCTCTGCTCCCTCTTGCTGTCTGGGGCTGAGCGGGCGCTGGAAGTGGGGCGGGGTGGGTGCGGCGGGACGCAGAGGAAGGAAGGAGGTGGCAGAGGTGGGGCGGGCGCCCCTCTGGAGACCAACCACTGGCTCCATTGTCCTCCGCCGGCCGGCTTCTCAGACAGGCCTGAACGTGCAGGGCCACCTCCGAGTGGCCTGATATTGCCCCCACGCGGAGCCCCGGCCCCGCACGTTCCCAGGGGTGGCTGTTCCAGCCAGGTGCGCGTCCCTCCGGAGCCGCGCCCCGCGGAGCGAGCGCGGAGCCGGCGACGCCGCCCTGGGCGCGCCGGCTCCTCCTGGCGAGGCGCTGCTGAGCCGGAGGTCCAGCTGCCTTCCGCACCCTGCCCACTGTGAACCGGGCGCCTGCTCCCCATTTCTGCCCCCTGGGAAGAAATGGATAGACTTCGAGAGGAGGTGAATGAGCAAAGACACTTACAGGGAAAAGAAAAAGGAAATAAAACCTTGCTGATGAGGCTAATCAAGGTTTTGTTTTGTTCTGTTTTAATCCTGAGGAGGGGAAACGGTAAGTGGCTCCTCAGGAAATCTACTGGCGTCCGCAAATGTCAAACCTGCCAGTCGCACATGGAAGGCTAGGGAGAGCACCTGGGGATTCCAGGTGAGGTGAATCTTGAAGGGAAGTCCTTGAATGAAATGTTACCGAGCTGAGACAGCCGAAACACTGTGTCTGCCCCTGGTGTAAATTCTTATGGAGAAAACACAGATTCTGACTCTGCTCCAATTTATGATTGGAGGGTGTGTGTGTGTTGGGGGACGGGGGGAGGGCAACAAGATGACAACACTTTTAAAGCTGTGAATAAAACGCAAGTTTCCTGGATGTTGATTTGTCTTTATCACATATAATGGGTTCTGCATAGATGGACATAGGTTGTTCTTGACTAGGTATTATTTATATCAATAGATCATAACTTCTGTGTATTTCTCTGCTACATTTCATTGGTAAACAAAAAGACTTTTACTCGTCTGGGAAGCTGCACATTTATTTTAAGAAGTGCAACAGTAGTTTTCATGGACATCTTCATGAAATAAACAAATGCTTAAAGAAAGCAATTTACTTCTTTCCAAAGGAGGTTAGAGAGGTGCGTGTGCCAAAAATGCATCCCAAGTTGTTTATTTGAAAACCTCTTCGGCACTGGGAGTAAATAATGCATTTACAGTAAAAAAATAAAAGGTCAGCAAATGTTTATTTTTTTCCTGAACTTTTTTCATTAATAATATGTTACTGAGAAAAGAACAATACATACAATAAGTTTACTATTCTGAGTTCTCAAATTGAGGATAAAATTTACTCCACTCTAAAACTGAACAGATAGTTAAAAGCCTTTGATTTGGGGAATATGAAATACGTAAATTGTTCAACATAGAGCTGCAGGTATTATAAACCAGTATTTCTGGTGGAAAACTGCTCTAGAAGCCCACATCTTTACAGGATTGAGTAAAAAAGGAATAGTTTTATACTTCTCAGCAAATTTTTTGAGATTTATTACAAAATGAAGTAACTTCTTTCCTGGTTATGAGTCTGCATTAATTTTATTAAATAATCTTGGAATTAAATGGTTAGGCTACTGTAATACCTAAAATACAGCAATGAAATGGAAGAAAAAATATAGTTTCCTTTGTAAAATAGTCTAGCTAAAAAGTTCAATACAGGAACTTTTTTAAAAGTCCGACAGTCTTGGAATTCGGCATGTAGCAATCAGGATTTTTTTACAGACATTTTGGCGGGGGTGGGGGCAGGGGAGTCTGATTTCATAAAGGACATTTTTTATGCATTCCTTTAGAAATGCTGCAGTTGACTTTGTTGCCACCAGAGGGCAGAGAAACCACTAATTTCCTTCCCATTCTCTCCCAAACCTGAGATGAGTGATCCTCAATATTTTCTTTTCTATGTGCAGTATTTTTTGATATTTCAACTTAACGTTCGTAAATGAGTGGCAATTTAAAACAATGAGAGTTTATTATATTTCCCATTTGCGTTGAAATTATTTATTCATTTAATATTTATATAGTACTCCCTACATGTAGACTTACACCTTGAATACATTCGTGTGGTGTGATAAGTACAGTGGAAAACCCCAAGTACTCTCTTTCGCATCACTGTTGGCAATTATTAACACGTTGTGGAATTTTCAAGAATATACTTTAAAATTATCTCTCTTGTGATTAAAAGTTCATTATATAGTGAATTTTCTTTTAGGATTGAATGTATTCTGTGTATATCTGAAAAGTATTTGCCCACACTAAATAGTATATCTCAACCAATGTTTAGAGAAAAATAAGCTTAGAATAATGTTAAATTTTATAAATCTCAAATCATTTCCATATTGTTATACATTCATCTTTATATCCTGAACTGATTGTAAAACAGTTTAGTAACAATGTCAAAGGAGAAAGATGCAGTCATATCTTGTAGAATTCTAAAATTTAAATCAGGAGAAAAGGCCTAAAATATGTAGTTATATTTTGGCCTGATTATTGCTCTTAAATGTGATTTAATGCAACAAGGAAGTTCGTTACCACTATAGAGAGAGCAATAATAGTTTAGGACCCCAAGGAATTTTCACTTTTTAAACTCTCTAATATTGCCGTGTTCTAGAAACAAGTAGTTTATTTTTAGCAGATCGTTTACATTTAGTTGTTTTTCTAGTTGGATATTTTCCTATTATTTTCTGCTTTCATTAGAGTTAAAAAACTTACTTTGAAATATTACTAATTTGTGGAGTTTGCTATAAGAGTATCTCTGTTGAGACATACTGTCACTAGTACAAAATTTCTAACTATATGCAGACATACCTGGAGCAAGAGATTAAGACAGAGGGTTAATTCAAGCAAATATCTCTATAAAACGGACATGGGCCAGATTATTAGAAAATCACAGGTTTTTAAAAATCAATGACTCTTGACT